AGGAGGAGGGGAGACGGGTTGAGCAAGATAAGGAGAGGTGGGGGAGATTAGAGAGGATTTAGGGTCCTGCATTTGAACTTCACAAATTTCACATGACTGAATCTAATCAATTACCCAAAAAAAGTCAAGTATTTGAGTGTGTGCTGTGTGGCAGAACAAGATCAGCATCTTTACTGAAATATAAAAGCGTGAGTGTAGATTATTTAATACAAACAGAAATGTGTGCTTGAGACGCGGTTACAAGAGGAGTCCTGCTTCTTTAAGCTGTAAACAATGTTGTTAGCTTTAAAAACAGATAAATGGAGTGAACATACAAACTGCTTTTGAAGAAGCCTTGCACGGACTGAGGAAAAAATCAGAACAAATAAATATACAACTCAGCCTTTGCAATAAACTGTTCTGACCAAAAATATATTAGGATGAACTACTACCTTTGGTCAACTTACCCATGTTGTTGAGGGAGACAGAAGAAGTGGCCTTCTGGACGGGCACGGAGAACCTTACACTCTTCTTCCGTGGCATCTCCGTCGACGACGGAGACAACAGGGCCTCCATCTCTCCATCTGCCACCGAGGGATACGGCTGGGATGCTGTCTGTACATTTCCCGTAGTAGTATCACCTCCGACCCCCACGACCCTTGCAGCAGCTTCCCTTGGAGGCGTCACCAGGACAACTGGAAGGTCCTGATGACCTCCTGCGTCTCCTGCTGTGGACTGCTTGAGGACAAGTATTCCCCTCAGGTGCTTGGTGTCGCTGTTGCCATGCTGGTGAACGTCAGTTGCCAGCTGAGTGCCACCCTCAGATTTCTCACATTGTGACCCAAGATGCGAGGGCGGACTTTGGGAAAATTCGTCGTCCGACTCGTCTGCGTCGCTGGTCAGGGGTTCGAGTTGAGTGACCTGAAATCTACCTCTCTGGACAGTGGGCGACGTCGCAACAAACTCCCCGAGTCGGGCCGCGTCTACTTTTAGTCGTGTAGTGGTATCTGCTCGCTGTCCTGAGCTGTCAGTCCAGCGTCGCACGCCCTCCACACTTTGCAACACAGCACCATCTTGCTGCCGCTGTGTAAATTCATTGTGTTGCATTAAATTCTGTTTAGATGCCTGTCGCTCTATGTCACCACCGCTGCTGTTGCAGGTCGTCGCAGTAGTGTCGCAGGTCGTTGCGGCAGCGTTGCATGGTGTTGCAGCAGGGTTACAAGGAGCTGCAGAAGTGTTGCCTGGCGCTGCAGCAGTGAGGCTTGAGTCAGGAGTTTTGCATCTGCACCATTCAGCATGTTGACTATGCGACAATATATCTTCACATTTACCCAAACATTTTCCTTGTTGGTCCAAACATGCTACTACCATGGCCGCCGGGGTCTCCTGGCGCGTCTCGGGAACACTCAAGCATCCTGTACTGTCGCTAGAGACCTTCCCAACAGCGTCTGAAGCCTCAGTGACAACCTGCAGCTCCGTGACAATGAAGCGGCCCCGCCGGACCGTCGGCGACGCCGGCCGGAAGCCAACCCCTTGAGCTGAGTGGTGGGCGGTGGGAGGGGAAAGTTTGGGCAGCGTTTTACTGGCCGTGAGAGTGGATGGGGGTGGATGGAGACGATTGAGCGAGGGTGTGGGTGGAGGTAGTCTGGGCGTGGTTGTGGGCGGTGGCAAGTCACATGTGGGCGGCAATGGGAGGTGCAGCTCAACACAATTACATAATGTTACCTCCTGACAGTCGGGACCTTCCCAGTGGACCGTGCTCTCTTTCCATAAGTCACGGCGGCACTGTTTATGCTGCGAATGTGAGTTATATTGTTGTGTCTGCGTTTGTTGATGTTGTTCAGTTTGTTGTGATGGCTCTGTGTGTAACTGTTGTGGTGGCTCTGTGTGTAACTGTTGTGGTGGCTCTGTGTGTAACTGTTGTGGTGGCTCTGTGTGTAACTGTTGTGGTGGCTCTGTGTGTAACTGTTGAGGTGGCTCTGTGTGTAACTGTTGTGGTGGCTCTGTGTGTAACTGTTGAGGTGGCTCTGTGTGTAACTGTTGTGGTGGCTCTGTGTGTAACTGGTGAGGTGGCTCTCTGTGTAACTGTTGTGGTGGATCTGTGTGTAACTGTTGTGGTGGCTCTGTGTGTAACTGTTGTGGTGGCTCTGTGTGTAACTGTTGAGGTGGCTCTGTGTGTAACTGTTGTGGTGGCTCTGTGTGTAACTGTTGAGGTGGCTCTGTGTGTAACTGTTGTGGTGGCTCTGTGTGTAACTGTTGAGGTGGCTCTGTGTGTCGCCAGAGGCGCTGAAGCTGCCACGGGCCAACCAGGGAGAACATGCTGGTGGTGCTGTGGATGGGCCCGCGGTCCTCACCGTAGCTAGCAATGATTGACCAGTTCAGGTCACCGTTATTGACCTCGGCGTCACCTGAGATCACCATTATTGACCTCAGCGCCACCCAAGGTCATGGCATAGGGGATGAGGGGGACGGGGGAGGGGCCTTCACTGCTTCGTTGTTCAACTTCGAGTCGCGACTGACAAACCTCTACAACCTTTACTCGTCTTGGGTCATCAGTAAGAACTATATTATTAAAGGTCACTCTTGAAGAGTACGAGCAGACACCAAACCATAACCGCCCTAAGTTCGAGCCTTGACCCAAATTTCACAGCCTTAGCTCTAATTTCCTAGCCTTGACCCCCTCCCCCCCACACTTCAGTTAACTGTCTATTACATGAGGTGTGACGCGGGCTCTCCCACGACACCAGTTTTGGTGTGAAATACTAGTTTCACATCAGCTCTTCGACCTGTGGAGCACTGTCACCTTTGAGACTTGAAACTACTTGCTACATGTAGATACCTTCCAGGTGTTCCACCCATTTGTGCATAGCTAACTGATCTCCATCAACTTACACGTGGGAAATTTCATGTACTAGAGGTTATAATGATTTATCTTTAAAAGCAAATTCCTCTTCTGGCTAAAATGTAATAAGCTTTGTAAAGTTCAGTTTAGTTCGCATGTTTTCAATTATGCTACAAATAAAAAAGTTCCACACTATACACAAAGTTCCACAACAAGATTTTTTTCAGTTAGGTCACATAGGTTCGACAGAATGTTCAAATGTTTCCTCCACGTTCAATAAAGTTCAATCCTCTGTAAGTGTTGTTACAGTGATGAGCTTCACCAGTTCCAGCCGGAGAGAGAGAGCGAAGGAGAGCGCGGGAGAGTGAGGGAGAGAATGAGACACTGAGTTGTATGCTCGTGTTATGGCCAGTGTATGTGCTGACTCTCACACTCCTCTCTCACCTCCTCCTCCCTGGTGGGGGCGATGGGGTTGATGGGGTGGTGGAAGAGGAGGGGAGAGAGGGTGTGATGGTGAGGGCAGAGATGAGGTGTGTGCTGGTGGTTGGTGTATTGCTGAGATGAGGGGAGAGGGAGAGAGAGAGGAAGGGAAGAAGTGAGGGAATGGGGGATGGAAAGATGGAGGGATAGAGGGTGGATTAAGGAGGGATTGGGTGGGGGGCACGAAGCCCTGGACATACAACCATTAAACAACAGACCTCAACAGCAAATGGTGCTAGTGTTAATTCAAGTTAATTCGTGAGTGTTGCAAGGTCTTAGGACTGCACTTAGTATGTCTTGGAGGAGATAGAGCTCGAGAATGTGACGACTCTCGTGTGGTAGGAGGAGTGTGTGTGTGTGTTGCTGGGTCTTGAGCCGTGCTGCCCTCCACCCACTTGCTGTGTCAACACATTTGAGTGGATAGAATGCCAATAAATCCTCTTTATATGGTTGGGTTATGCAGCGGGACATGTTTATTCGTTCATAGGTGATGGGAGCATTTTGACTTCGTTTAAAGTATAGAAAAAGGGAGGAAAGAGGGAAAGAGAGGGGGGGGGGGGGGTTACTGGCGTGTCTCGAGGATGGGAGGGGAGGGGATGGGAGGGGGAGCATCTTTATTACATCACTATCTTTTTTATTGTATCCATCTTTACTACACACGACCATCATCATTTAGGACTCTTTACTGCACATTCTTACACTAACACTCTTTAAACTATACACAACCTTCAACAATGTAGCCATCTACACTACACAGAACCATCCTCACTATTCGAGCACCACTGGGGACCCCATCATCATCATCATACCTTCCCTATCTTTCACCACCTTTTGTACCCTCCACAACCTTCAGTGTACTTCATCACTGTAACCATCTTCACTACAGTCTTTGTCAATAAATAAAATACATAGACAAACTAACATTTAATTTTCATGTAGAAAATAATATGCTGGATTAATTTTAATGAAGATCGAGTTTTGTATTTAACGAGAATAAAATTCAGTATAATTTGCCAATCCATGCAAAAGTGGGACATACAGGAGCTGACCTCCGACTCTCCTATGACCATCCCCGAACCACCACCAGTCACCCTTCAAAATTTGGTGAGGTTAGCCGCAAGCATCTGGCCTCTAAGCTCGACCACATAGACAAACAAATACACATTCTCTTGTATAGATATTAGATGTTGACTCATACCACATACTAATGACTATGTATCTTTAGATGATTTCGGGGCTTTAGTGTCCCCGCGGCCCGTTCCTCGACCAGGCCTCCACCTCCAGGAAGCAGCCCGTGACAGCTGACTAACACCCAGGTACCTATTTTACTGCTAGGTAACAGGGGCATGTAGGCGAGAGAGAGAGAGAAACAAAATGAACATGTACGCATTAGTGCCATCAGCCGGTTCATATCAATAAAATATATTCCCTTTCGTTTCAAAAATGCAACTGACGTTTTACAGGATTCATTTTTTTTTGCAGGGATATTCCTGCGCGGGCCCTAAGCCTCTGGCTGGCCCACTAAGTGTTGCTTGTTTCTCTTTTACTTGGGCGGAGTATGAGTATTTATGACTCGTTTGGTCGCTTCAGTAAGAATTTGCCATATGAGTTTAACAACTTCTTCTGCTCTGTTGAATCTAAGTTGAAATCTTAATGGGTTTGTAACTGTGCACTGTGTTAGATAATGTTCCAGTGGTCTGTTGTGGTTGTAACTGTGCACTGTGTTAGATAATGTTCCAGTGGTCTGTTGTGGTTGTAACTGTGCACTGTGTTAGATAATGTTCCAGTGGTCTGTTGTGGTTGTAACTGTGCACTGTGTTAGATAATGTTCCAGTGGTCTGTTGTGGTTGTAACTGTGCACTGTGTTAGATAATGTTCCAGTGGTCTGTTGTGGCACTGTAACTGTGCACTGTGTTAGATAATGTTCCAGTGGTCTGTTGTGGTTGTAACTGTGCACTGTGTTAGATAATGTTCCAGTGGTCTGTTGTGGTTGTAACTGTGCACTGTGTTAGATAATGTTCCAGTGGTCTGTTGTGGTTGTAACTGTGCACTGTGTTAGATAATGTTCCAGTGGTCTGTTGTGGTTGTAACTGTGCACTGTTAGATAATGTTCCAGTGGTCTGTTGTGGTTGTAACTGTGCACTGTGTTAGATAATGTTCCAGTGGTCTGTTGTGGTTGTAACTGTGCACTGTGTTAGATAAAGTTCCAGTGGTCTGTTGTGGGTGTAACTGTGCACTGTGTTAGATAATCTGATTCATGTTACGATCTGTGATACATTGAACTACAAATTTAGTGTTGTACGCTGACCATGTGCATAGCTAAAACATAATCGAACTATGATTATTTGTATAATTATATAATTAGGAATAGGCAAAGGTGATGCGAACTTAATACAAAGAATATATATTTATTAGTTTTGCTATTAACTAGCACATCACTCTTATATTTCAAAATAAACTCGGGCAAGATTTTAAATCATTATTACAATGTTTCCTTTGCCTACTTTATTCCATTATTTAAGAGTCACGTGAGCAGAACATGAAGTGTGAGGTCTGACATGTGAACCCAAAACTCATGTCATGAGTTCAAGACTTGAACGCATTCAGAAGTTATCAAAACCATGATACCGTCCCTAAGGCGAGTGTTCAAGACTGTGAACATGTTCAATAGTGTTGAGGAACAAGAACACAGCCACGGTTCACACCCTCCTCACCAACCTCTGTGGCAACCTCTGATGACAAACATCAATACACACCACTCTGAACACATTGTGATATACAGCAGCCATAACAAAACCAAATACCAGGGACTATATATACAATCACCAGTATGAAGAAACAATGAATACAATCACCTCTATATAGTAGCAATATGTACAATCGTGTGTGTTCCTGGTTTCCTAATGGTTGAGGTGTCAGTTACACACTAAAACCACAATCACGTGGCTTTAACCATCAATTGAATTCATCCAAAGAAATATACAATTGCACAGAAAAATTGTTCTTCAACAAAATATCTTGAAAAACCCTGAGTGACCATGCATTTGGTAGATCATTCTGACCCAATTTATAAATTACTTTATCATCAGTGCTCTTTCTATACGATATTTATGTTTTTAGAACTTTGGATATGTGAAAAGTTCTGTAATCTTTTGCTTTCTGTGTATAGGCTTAAAGGTAATAAAAATGAGCTCTCAAGAAAAGCAGACTTCCCACTCATGCCTTTAGTGCTCTACCAGACGAATGTTTGTTGTTTATATATGTAAAGAGCCACTGTGCATAGGTCTTGCTCCAGCAACAACAAGATCCGTGTGGGTCTTGCTCCAGCAACAACAAGATCCGTGTGGGTCTTGCCCCAGCATCAACAAGATCTATGTGGGTCTTGCTCCAGCATCAACAAGATCCGTGTGGGTCTTGCCCCAGCATCAACAAGATCTATGTGGGTCTTGCCCAAGCATCAACAAGATCCGTGTGGGTCTTGCCCCAGCGTCAACAAAATCCGTGTGGGTCTTGCCCCAGCGTCAACAAGATCCGTGTGGGTCTTGCCCCAGCGTCAACAAGATCCGTGTGGGTCTTGCCCCAGCGTCAACAAGATCCGTGTGGGTCTTGCCCCAGCGTCAACAAGATCCGTGTGGGTCTTGCCCCAGCGTCAACAAGATCCGTGTGGGTCTTGCCCCAGCGTCAACAAGATCCGTGTGGGTCTTGCCCCAGCGTCAACAAGATCCGTGTGGGTCTTGCCCCAGCGTCAACAAGATCCGTGTGGGTCTTGACTGTTGACGATGGGAGTCGTGCCGTCCATCTCCTCCTCCTCTTGCCCATCTTCTCATCTATCCACTTGCTGACCCATCTGTTACATCGGCGACCTCACAGATCCTGGAACTAGCAATGCTGCTGACCGCTCTAAGCCTCCTTGGTGAGTCTTTGAGCCTCCTGCGAGTCCTCATTGAGAGTCTTCTCCAGGACTTTGTCATCGTCTCTCTCACCGTACAGGTCCAGCTGGCGGCTGTAGTAATACACGATCAAGTCCCCGAACACTGACACGAAGATGAATGCTGAGGAGGGAGAGATAACACTGTGAGGGAGATATAACACTGTGAGGGAGAGATAACAATGTGAGGGAGAGATAACATTGTGAGGAAGAGATAACATTGTGGGGGAGAGAGGAAAGGAATAATCAGGGGAAAGCGCTTAGCCACTACAACTATATAGTACTTGGAATGGACATAGTCTTACCACTGAATAGAGTGAAGACACGAGCCCGAGCTCTCCACTTCTTCCCAGATTGAACAAGGGCTTACCTATCCACCTATTAGTTGAAAGACGGGGGGGGGGGGAGGAAAGGGGGGAAGATACATAAGGAATTGCTGCTTTCAACACAGAGGCTAGGCAAAAGGGGCTTAGCCTCTGGGTCATAGACGGCAGGCGGTGAGCAGAAAAGGGACACAACGTGTAGTTGTGATGGTAAACTCTTCCATACTACCCAACCACTTGGGCTGAGCGGTAGTGCGAGCTCAACCACTTGGGCTGGACGGTAGTGCGAGCTCAACCACTTGGGCTGGACAATAGTGCGAGCTCAACCACTTGGGCTGGACGGTAGAGCGACGGTCTTGCTTCATGTAGGTCAGCCCAAGTGGTTGGACAAGTGAATGAAGACCAAGGAAGGGATCCGAATGCCATATAATATGTTGCCGAGAAGAGAGGTTGCTAGTACTTGAGACAGTTTAAGTCAGGCCCAACTGCGTCTGGGTACAAGTGACAGGATGAACAACCCAGCGGGTTTTCTTTCAATTGGGGAGGAGGGGGGGATGTTATACATGCTGTTGTGGCGTTGTGTTCACTCACAGGGTGAGTGACGCTGCATAATCAACTCACCCTAAGGGTTGTCCTGGGCAGTTGGAGTCCACCACCAGCTCCACCAACACAACACAGGGACACTGAGAGAAGCGTCAACAAGGCTGGATGCGCTAATGTTGAAATAGTCTCCAAATACTGAGAGTTAGAAATGTTCCGTTTCCTTAAAATATTTAAACCTATTTTACAAAAGTTGTGTAGCCTGCATTATTTAAAGTATTTTGTATTAATCATACACGAGAATGATTAATATAGATTACTACTGGTATGTAACAAGTATACTTTTTATCGGGTAATTATTAAAATGTGTATTATAATTAATTATAATTTAGTTTTTATCCCAGGTCAGAAGACACAGTCTTCTCACGAACTCAGCGGCTCTCATCTCTTATCATGGCGGCCTCGTCACTATTCACTATCAGTTTACGAGCATGAAGCTCTACGAGGTGGTCGTAACCGGCTCGACACAAGAGAGGACTAGAGGTGTACCTGTCTACGCGTGAACACAAGAGAGATAAGGGCCAGATTCACGAAGCAGTTACGCCAGCATGAATAGCCCGTAAGGAATATGATCAGCGATTAATACCTATTTATACCACAGCGATCTATATCTATTTATATCACAGCGATCTATACCTATCTATATCACAGCGATCTATATCTATTTATATCACAGCGATCTATACCTATCTATATCACAGCGATCTATACCTATCTATATCACAGCGATCTATATCTATTTATATCACAGCGATCTATACCTATCTATATCACAGCGATCTATACCTATCTATATCACAGCGATCTATATCTATTTATATCACAGCGATCTATACCTATCTATATCACAGCGATCTATACCTATCTATATCACAGCGATCTATATCTATTTATATCACAGCGATCTATACCTATCTATATCACAGCGATCTATACCTATCTATATCACAGCGATCTATATCTATTTATATCACAGCGATCTATATCTATTTATATCACAGCGATCTATACCTATCTATATCACAGCGATCTATATCTATTTATATCACAGCGATCTATATCTATCCACCGAGATGGGAATAGCTCTATATTAATTAAAAAATTTAAAATTTAATAGCTCTATATCCAGCCTGGTCTCTTCATTTGCTACTCCGTAAAGATTACAACCTAACAACCAATCCAGATATGTATGAACCCAAGGAATTCCCACCAAACCTATGGAGTTCGATGCACAGAAAACGTACATATTTTTGAACCGCTTCTTTTCATAGTAGAGTGTATTTTTAACGTTGATCACCATAACGTAAAAAATGCGACCTATAAGTTGGGAGGACTGGTTGCTATATCTCCAGCTACGCAAATGGAGGTTGATTGATTGATGAAGATGAAGCCACCCAAAAGGTGGCACGGGCATGAATAGCCCGTAAGTGGTGGCCCTTTTGAGCCATTACCAGTATCAATAGATGATACTGGAGATCTGTGGAGGTGCGGCTGCACCCTGCGTGACGGGAGATGTCTCCGTGAAATGGAGGTGACAGCCTATCCATTAAATAGGGAAGGGGCTGGGAGGTACAAGGAGGGGATAGATGGGTAGGTGGGTGAAGGGAAGGTTTGCCAATCCACACACCTGCAGGTACCAGATGTAGAATAAATCTGAACTTATCAGTATCGTAGAGCCAACAGTTGCCAGAACGACCACATTTCTTGTCCCACACCAAGCAGGCAGAGTCTGGCAACAAGGGGTAAACAAATCATCAACAACATCAAACAACATCATCAACTTACATAATATATATGTACATGCCCGAGTGAAACCGAGCTCAAGCTACATATTGATGTCACTGTCGTATGCAAATGTCGACATCAGTTATGAGCGAGATTAAATTAATAACTTAAGAAAAATATTATGTCACAATATAAACAAATTAAATCACACGGAAAATTCTATCGTGAACAGTTATGTAATAATAATGATAACTGCAAGTAATATTTCCCTCACACACACACACACACACACACACACACACACACACTCTCTCTGTCTCTGTCTTTGTCACTGTCTCTGTCTCTGTCTGTCTCTGTCTGTCTCTGTCTCTGTCTCTCTCTCTCTCTCTCTCTCTCTCTCTCTCTCTCTCTCTCTCTCTCTCTCTCTCTCTCTCTCTCTCTCTCTCTCTCTCTCTCTCTCTCTCTCTCTCTCTCTCTCTCTCTCTCTCTCTCTCTCTCTCTCTCCTCACCTATAATGGCACCCATCATGATTGGTGCAGGAATGAAGGCAAAGACACTCAGGAACACGTTGAGCGTGCCAAGGGCCAGGCCCTTATCTTCGTCTGCCACAGACCTGCAAGGTACACATGGTTGAACTTACACAACGGTACAGTGATAGGTACATGGCTACAGTGAAACATACAGGGGGTACAGTGAAATATATAGGGGATACAGTGACAAGATGAGAATGAGAGTGATACAAAGATACCGTTCCGTGATCCAGCAAGAGTGTTCCGGTAGTATAGTGATAGTGACATCAAAACGGAGCCAGGGGGTACAGTGACGCTAGGGAAGAGTGACAGTGACGTGAGAGATCAGTGACCCACACCGTAAGTTGGCTAACAAGCACTGCAAGTTGCACGACATAGGCGAGGAAGGGCACTGCAACAAGACATCTTGAGCAACGTGATACACAGCAGCGTTGGATAACATACTGGCTACTGTATCTCACATACGGAGATACATACTGCAGGTGAACGACATGCATTGATATGAATGAGGAGGTGCCCCCACACCACATGCCGGAGGTGGATGCGCCACATACCGAAGGTGGATGAGGTTGCTGCCCACCCTGCCGGTGGAGGCAACCGTCTTCATCACCATCTGGATGATAATATAATAGAAGAACTTGTCGCAAGGCTCAGGGCAGTACCCGCTACGACCCCATCCTAAACCACCTGCTCCTGCGAGGCCCTAGTGAAGAGAGACCACAGTAACACGGTTACTCATAGTACTGAAACTTTGTTTATAATAAAAACATTTATAACAACATTAATAATAACTGAAGGGAGAATGACAGCCAAAACTTGGTGACACGAATGGCAGGGCTTACCGTCACTGCTGCTGCGTCTAGGGTAAGGTTCTCCAGGTGGCTCGAGATGTGAGGGCGGGTTGTGAGGGGTGGGTGGGTGGCAGGGAGGGCTGTGAGGGGCGAGTAGGTGGCAAGGGGGGCTGTGAGGGGTGGGTGGGTGGCAGGGAGGGCTGTGAGGGGTGGGTGGGTGGCAGGGAGGGCTGTGAGGGGCGAGTAGGTGGCAAGGGGGGCTGTGAGGGGTGGGTGGGTGGCAGGGAGGGCTGTGAGGGGCGAGTAGGTGGCAAGGGGGGCTGTGAGGGGTGGGTGGGTGGCAGGGAGGGCTGTGAGGGGCGAGTAGGTGGCAAGGGAGGCTGTGAGGGGCGGGTGGGTGGCAGGGAGGGCTGTGAGGGGCGGGTGGGTGGTAGCAGAGATAATGTCCTCAATACACTGACACTCTCCATAAACCTGAAGATACAGGAAAAAAGAGAAGTTTTATTTTGGTACTCTGCATGAGATTTCTTTTGTTTGTACTACTGTAATAATTGTGAACATTCATGAAATAATTTGACATCATAATAATTCCCCTCACGGTGTAATTCGTTTTCATAAGCACTTCTCTGGCATTTTGTTATCTGGTGAGGTTTCGACACCCCCCCCCTTGATATGTGACTTTTGTGTCATATCTGCTCGTGAAGTTGTGACTGGAGGTGGCTTTTACGACTTCTTCTGTCAGTGAATTCCACTTGTTAACCGTCACATCTTGTATACCCGTAGAAGGCATACGAGTTTTCCTTACCTTTGATGGGCTTCCACCTATGTTATGTCTTGCACTCAGTTTAAATAGGTTGGTCTTGTCCAAATTGTCTATTCCACTCAGAATATTGTATGTTGTGATCATATCCCCATTTCTTCTTCTCCTCTCTAAGGATGTGCTGCGTTTCCTTAATCTGTCATCATAGCTTGGTTTACTTAATTTCGGTACTAGTCTTGAGCGAAGTTTTGAATATTTTCAAGTTACCTTTTGTTATGTTTCCTGAGGCGAGGATTCCATGCCGTTGCTGGTAGTCTAGGACCGGTCTCACCACTACAAGTTGAATACAATCATTTTGTCCTCTAGTTTTTCGTATCTGACTTAAAAATACTGAATATTCAGTTACTTTCAACCATCATTTTACTTAATCCATTCCTGCGTTGAGAATTATGAAGTGAAGTTCTTGCTGACACCTCTGTGGCTTACTTGTGCCTCTTGCTTCCCTGTGTGCCGGCCTCTCAAGGCGTTCAAGGTGGACCTTAACAAACACCTCCGAGGTATATCTCATCAACCGGGCCTGTAGTGCATACGTCAGGGTACCAGCAGCGGTGTCCAACAGTTCTCTCAACCAGAGCGTCGACCAGGAGGTCCTGCAGACAAAAGACCGGGTCGCGGGGACACTCACAGTAACCTCATTCTGCTTCTCCTTACTGCGAACATTGCTTCCTACACTGTAAATTCCTCTTAGAATTATTTAATCACCATCGTCATCGCATTCCACAGCTCCTCCTCTCCTTCAGAGTAGCATGAATCACTTGTATGAGACTTTCCACAGAACTCAGTCCCCTTAGCTTTGTAACTGGTCTTCTTGGAGAATTTTCGCGATTTCCTTTTTGTGTGGTTTTATACGGTTGGATTTTCATGCTGGAGATGCATACTCAAGAGTAGGTGTTACGTACGCATTTAAGTATGTTTATACAGCATCGAAGTGTAATTATGTATTTTAAATCATCAAACTACTCTAAAAGATAAATGTGTACGTTGACCAGACCCCACACCAGAAGATGAGGAGACGGCGACGTTTCGGTCCGTCCAGGACCATTATCAAGGCGGTTGTGTTGTCAAGTCCACAATCGACTTGATAATGGTCAAGGACGGACCGAAACGTCGACGTCTTCTCATCTTCTGGTGTGTGGCTTGGTCAACATATCTTCAGCCACGTTATTGTGACTTAACATCTGCATAGAATGATTGAGTGATGAAGATTAAGCTACCCAAGAGGTGGCACGGGCATGAATAACCCGTAAGTCGTCTGCATAAATGTGTATGTTGTTCTTGAGTTGAAAGTGAGAGAAAAAGGTAAGGGGCTGACGACCTACTATGGGGCTGGCGGTGGTGTTGACGGTGCTGCAGCCAGCGTAGCAGGCGGAGTAGTAGAGGGTGGTGTTATCGAGGCTGCAGACGGGGGAGTACCTCAGGGAACACCCACAGTCCGCAGAACACTCCGGGGAAACTGACCTGCAGGGGCCCCCCCACCATCTTTAAATGTCTTGAATTAACATCGCTATATCCGCTAACATCTGTTTTCTAAGACGAGATAACATGATATAAAGCTCAAGTTATTTCAAGAGATTGAAACTTGAATTCTGTCATCAGAGTCCACATCGACGTGTTTTTCTGCTTCTCCGCTTGTCTGCACATCCATCTGTCTGCCTATATCCGCATGTCAGCCTATCCGCCTGTCTGCATATCTACCTGAGTCTGTCCTTCCGTAGATCAACTTTCGATTCAGCTCAATTTTTGTTCAACAAAAAGAAAAAGATTCCGCTCCGTGGCGAGTGACTTACCCTTGGACGGGGCCGAGTACGGTGAGCTTCGGGCAGCCGATGAAGGCGAGGATGATGTAGCTGCTGCAGGTGAGTAAGGTGATGAAGATGTTGTACCCGGTGACAAACCTCGGCCCCGGGTGTGCCCACCGGAGCACGGCGCCCCCGAGCCCTGTGCCCAGCACAAGGGACACCAGACTGGCCAGACCTGAGGGAGAGGACACACAGGAGGGGTGTTAGCGCTAGAGGCGTCCTCTACCACCCACCATCACACACTACATCTTATACCACTCACTATTCCATTATATCACGTGTCATATTTCCTGAGTGTCCCTGAAAGATGATTTTGAGGCGAGTGAAAAGAATCAGGGAAATGGAGAAGGAGGAAAATGGAGGTTGTGGAGAAGGAGGAGGACCGTGAAGGAGGAAGGAAGAGCTCGGGGCCCTGAAGGCGCCTCACACCTGTGAAGTAGCTGGCAGTGGTAGGACTCTGGCGGAACTGGGTCTCCAGGTACTTGGGCTTGAAGTTCCAGTAGCCGGACACCCCCAGTACGTAGACAGTTGTGTTGAAGAGATTTCCAACCCAGATCTTGTTCGTGAAGAGTCGCTTCAGCCCCTTCAGGAGGTCTGCGGGATAGTTCGTAAGTGATACTATGGCGTACTATGTACACACTTAAGTACGTTGGAAGGGCAACAGATGCCTGGGGGAAACACTGCATTATAAAACATTTTTGCTACATTTTGTTAACAGGTAATGAAAATATCCCAACCTCGGGCTATGCTTGTTCAAGCTACGGCCGTCCTCAAAAGCGTAATCATAAATTTTTCCGAACTACACAAACTAAATCAGAATGTTGTCAAATATGTGTTATTGATATTGTTCAGTACAACTGTGGGGTATGGTTAGATCTAGGGAAGGTTAGGTCGGATGGTTTGTTAATTTTAGCAATTATTTCATTTACAGTACGTGGGGAAGCATTTAGAATATTTTTTTGTGCACCTAGGAAGCGAGTGAAGCAATGTTAGATATAAAGTCGGTCAAAATCACTTGAGAATAAAGAGGAAATGCTTCTAATTCATTAACATTTGACTGACGTTCCAAGTCAGTCAGAAGGTTGACGCTGAACGGTCAATTACTGTTGACAGACAGACAGAGATAAACAAGTGAAATGTCATTATGGAGCTCCTAGAACAAGCTTTAGCAAAACAAATATAATGACGTTACTAAGACAATAGTTTTATCTACTAACAGAAAGCAAGACCTTAAAGAAATAAAGCATTTTTATGAGGGAGTAGGAGGGTGAGCTTACTTCATAGGCAGGGACTGACCTTTCTGTGCTGGGTCCTAGCTAGAGAGGAGGGTGAGCTTACTTCATAGGCAGGGACTGACCTTTCTGTGTTGGGTCCTAGCTAGAGAGGAGGGTGACCTTACTTCATAGACAGGGACTGACCTCTCTGTGTTGGGTCCTAGCTAGAGAGGAGGGTGAGCTTACTTCATAGGCAGGGACTGACCTTTCTGTGCTGGGTCCTAGCTAGAGAGGAGGGTGAGCTTACTTCATAGGCAGGGACTGACCTTTCTGTGCTGGGTCCTAGCTAGAGAGGAGGGTGAGCTTACTTCATAGGCAGGGACTGACCTTTCTGTGCTGGGTCCTAGCTAGAGAGGAGGGTGAGCTTACTTCATAGGCAGGGACTGACCTTTCTGTGCTGGGTCCTAGCTAGAGAGGAGGGTGAGCTTACTTCATAGGCAGGGACTGACCTTTCTGTGTTGGGTCCTAGCTAGAGAGGAGGGTGACCTTACTTCATAGGCAGGGACTGACCTTTCTGTGCTGGGTCCTAGCTAGAGAGGAAGGTGAGCCTACTTCATAGACAGGGACTGACCTTTCTGTGCTGGGTCCTAGCTAGACAGGTGGGTGAGCTTACTTCTGAGGGTGGGTTTGGCCTCCCTGCGCTGGGTTCTAGCCAGAGAGGAAAAGAACTCTGCGTTTCTTTTGCCACCAGCCTGACGGTCTCTCTCAGCCAGCCTCAGCGCCCTCTTCTGCTCTCGCTTCTGGGTCCCCGGCAACTTCCGCGGGAAGAGGAACAGAAGGTTCCCCGTTAACAGCAGACCGAACCCAATGACCAGGAAGCCTGTGGAGAAACAGGAATATATCACGCTGACATCTGATCTACCATTACAGCATTGCCATACTGCATAACAAAATCAGGCTCTCAGGCCAGTTTATTCATCATTCCTTCACAAACACGCAAAAGCGATCACAATAATCCTTGTTATTTCGAGGAGTGAAGCAAGGAGAGGGGAAGATGGTGTGCCATACCTATCCACCAGGCGCCGTACCAGCGCGGGTCCTTCCTAGTGAGGTTAGGCTGCTGGGACGGGTCTATCCACACGGAGAGACACTTCCCTCCCACGAAGAACCCGATCACTGGACCTAAGATTCTCAGCATGAAGGCGGCCGCTGAAACCACAACACACCAAGATATATACATGTGTTCTACCACCACAACATGAAGATGTATACATAGAAGGCGAAAAGTTGCGAGTTATTGTTAATTCTTCCGTCTTGTTCAATAAGACGGCATTCTTTTTTGGCGTTTAATTTACCATGCCCTATGTTAATTGTTCTCCTGCCACGTTCTATCACAGAAACCCTTAACTTTACGTTAAAAAAGTTTAAACGAATTCCCCGCCCTCGTCCTAAACATTCAAGGTTACACAATGGGCTAAATATGATAAGCCTCTCCTATCACTTGTAGCTTTTTAGCAAGGCACAAAGCAAAACAGAATAGGCATATACTATGACCAGCAGCTTGCTGTATAGGCCTACTCTAGGGCATGTAGCTTGCCGCCTCACACAGGCTCCCATTGGCCTGCGGAACGCTGATGGGTTAACCTAACTTTTTGTTAGGTTAACAAAGAGAACTATCATGGGAAAGCGATAAGCCATTACGCCTATATAACACTTGGAAGGGTCGATGATAAGGACTTGGGATGGGACCAGGGGGAGAGGTGTAGGAATTGTGCCCAACCACTTGGACGTTCGAAGATTGAACGTCGACCAGCATGAAGCAAGACCGTCGCTCAACCGTCCAATCCAAGTGGTTGGCGGAATATAAAAGGTTAATGTTATCAGTGCAATGGCTACGGTAGAGAGCCTTTTAAGACAACATGAGCCCGTGGCTAAACAACGAGATTACAGCTCTCCAGCATATCTCTATACCTGTGTTCCAATATTATTTTAATGCCAGTGGAACTGGAAGCTTATTGGTGAAGCTTGGTGAGGGGCGGGAAGTAGGGGACGGACGTTATTGGTCAATTTTATTATGGAAGAGCGAGGGAGATGAGGTGTATTGGGTTAGTGGGATGGAGTGTGGCAGGCGAGGATTGGTAATGGCCGTAGTTGGGAAGAGTATGAGGGTGAGTGAACATAGGTCCATCTTAATGTGGTGAAAGTGATGCTTAGAGGGACGTAGATCTGTGTTACAACTGCCACAAGAATATGAAGATAATATATTTGGCTTTTAATTATATACATATTCAGGAAACGATAAGGTATCATAAGAACCAATCCCACTTCTTGACGCTTCTCTCTTTCCATTATCACTCACTCACTCACTCTCTCTCTCTCACATACACACACTCACACACACACACACAACTCACAGTAGTACATAGGGTAGGCCTTCTTGCTAACGTTATCATCGAGGTAAGTGATCCCCAGGCTGTAGAAGATACTGAGGGTCACGCCGAAGAAGAACTGGGAGCTGAAGAAGAGCACCAGAGGCCCCATGAAGGACTCCCGGTTGCCACCCACGCTGCCAACCTCCTCCTCTTCGCACACCTCCTCCGGCTGGAAGAGGCACACCTCCTCCTTCTCTGTGTACCAGGAGGAAAGGAATATGATGAGCAGGTCTCACGGTGTGAGTATAACCTCGGAGCTACACCGACCGCAAAGAGCCAAAGGGACCTTTGGCTCTTTGCTTTAGATTACCTACCTATACAGGGACCAAAGAGCCAAAGCTCAACCCACGCAAGCACAATTAGGTGAGTACTAAGTGGTACTCAGAAGACTACCATGGACGAGTTTACCAGTCTGCCGCAGTTTACTCTGGCTGGCAGCCAACGCTGGCAGAACCTGGTAGTGGTGATCTACCAGGTAGATCAGGTGATGTACCTGTATAGGTAGGTGATCTACCTGTATAGGTAGGGGGGGGGGGAGTATTCTCTCCCCCCACACACCCAGATAATTAAGTAAACCCACCTTCCTGTAACCAATATTTATCCGGTCGTAACAAATATTACAGAAATAATTAGAGCACTCCTTAATTTTAAGGAGAAAATTTACACGTTGCTGTGAATAAGCTGCGCTAATTACTATAGGCTTCTAGCAAAACAACTTTGAATATTAAACAAGAAAAACAAGCTGTGCCTCAGGCCAGGTCACGTGTGTACACCCACAAGGTTGAACTTGGCACCAGCAGCAACAACATGGTCAACCCACCACCTCCCTACACCCTCCCAACCACGTCCAAGGAATTCTGGAATAATCACAAAGTAATAAGCAAGGGGTAAGTGATGAACACTCACTAGTATTTGTGCCAACTGTGAGGTTGGCCAGTAGGTGGATGGGTGCTCCTGCAGTGGCTGCCGCGGCGATAGCACTCGCCTCCTCGCCTGCCCCGTACATGAGGTGAGGGAGGGCGGCGAGGAAGCCGGCGAGGGCGGCGAACAACACGCCCACAGCCACCCACCGTGGGCGGTGACCGTAGTTGCCATAGTAACCCAAGACGATAGATAAGACGATCTGCGATACATCATTTCCAGCAAGTATCGTACCTGCAATGAAAGCGTTGTTGTACTCCCTCATGAGAATAATATTACACGTACCTATATGGTACATATTGTCTCTATGTACCACATTGGTACCTGTATACTACCTGAAACTAAACATTTTATGAATGTTTATTTTTTATTATTATTTGAAACAAAATTGGTAGATATATTGGACTTGGGCCGGGTCCCTAAAAATTGTTGAAAAAGCAGTCACCAATTGCTAAGGTGCGGTCAACTAGTCGAAACCCCATTGACGCCAACTTGTTATACTCACGACAAATTTCAGTATATTCTCGAGAAACCTGAATTAATATAGCACAACAAAACTTGAGCACACTCACAAGAAAACGTGAGTACACTCACCCGTCTCCTTGCTGGTGAACTTGAACCTCTTCTCGATGGTAGAGAGGACGGACACCATGTAGGTGAAGAAGATCCCTTGAGTGAGGCCCACTATACTGAACACTACCATGTACACCTCCTTCCTGGCCAGCGCCTGTGTACACACACACACACTCTTGTACACATGTGATATGATAGAGCCCAGTAGGCTCAGGAATCTGTACACCAGTTGATTGACAGTTGAGAGGCGGGACCAAAGAGCCAAAGCTCAACCCCCGCAAGCACAATTAGGTGAGTACAATTAGGTGAGTACATCAGGTGGTGGGGTGGAGGGGTGGGGGGAGGGAGTACTCCGTAATACAGGCTTTATAAAATTGTAAAGTTTTTTTGGGGAGGGAGTGGGAGGGGGGGGGGGGTGAATCAAATGGGGTGGAACACCCCCCCCCATCCTGATTCCCCCCCCCATCCTGATTCCCCCCCCCCCCTCCCCCCTAGGTACATGCAGTACCCTAATAGATTTTCAATACGATATATGCTATGAGGATTTCAATCTGTTCTAATGAAATAATATATTCTTTCAAAGTTAACAGGCGATATTTTTTTATACAAATTTAATCTACAGAATGAATAACCAATGATGAATAATGAATAACTAGCAATAATAACTGGTGATGAATAATCAATGATGAATTACTTAATTTAAACTGATTAAATCTTGACTGTTTGCTAATGTTATAGAGCTGTGATTGTGAGGATGGGCTGTGATTGTGAGCATGAGCTGTGATTGTGAGGATGGGCTGTGATTGTGAGGATGGGCTGTGATTGTGAGCATGAGCTGTGATTGTGAGGATGGGCTGTGATTGTGAGGATGGGCTGTGATTGTGAGGATGGGCTGTGATTGTGAGGATGGGCTGTGATTGTGAGGATGGGCTGTGATTGTGAGCATGAGCTGTGATTGTGAGCATGAGCTGTGATTGTGAGAATGGGCTGTGATTGTGAGGATGGGCTGTGATTGTGAGGATGGGCTGTGATTGTGAGGATGGGCTGTGATTGTGAGGATGGGCTGTGATTGTGAGGATGGGCTGTGATTGTGAGGATGGGCTGTGATTGTGAGGATGGGCTGTGATTGTGAGGATGGGCTGTGATTGAGAGCATGAGCTGTGATTGTGAGCATGAGCTGTGATTGTGAGGATGGGCTGTGATTGTGAGGATGAGCTGTGATTGTGAGGATGGGCTGTGATTGTGAGCATGAGCTGTGATTGTGAGGATGGGCTGTGATTGTGAGCATGAGCTGTGATTGTGAGGATGGGCTGTGATTGTGAGCATGAGCTGTGATTGTGAGCATGAGCTGTGATTGTGAGCATGAGCTGTGATTGTGAGGATGGGCTGTGATTGTGAGCATGAGCTGTGATTGTGAGGATGGGCTGTGATTGTGAGCATGAGCTGTGATTGTGAGGATGGGCTGTGATTGTGAGGATGGGCTGTGATTGAGAGCATGAGCTGTGATTGTGAGGATGGGCTGTGATTGTGAGGATGGGCTGTGATTGTGAGGATGGGCTGTGATTGTGAGGATGAGCTGTGATTGTGAGGATGGGCTGTGATTGTGAGGATGGGCTGTGATTGTGAGGATGGGCTGTGATTGTGAGGATGGGCTGTGATTGTGAGGATGAGCTGTGATTGAGGATGGGCTGTGATTGTGAGGATGGGCTGTGATTGTGAGGATGGGCTGTGATTGTGAGGATGGGCTGTGATTGTGAGGATGCGCTGTGATTGTGAGGATGAGCTGTGATTGTGAGGATGGGCTGTGATTGTGAGGATGGGCTGATTGTGAGGATGGGCTGTGATTGTGAGGATGACCTGTGATTGTGAGGATGGGCTGTGATTGTGAGGATGGGCTGTGATTGTGAGGATGGGCTGTGATTGTGAAGATGGGCTGTGATTGTGAGGATGGGCTGTGATTGTGAGGATGGGCTGTGATTGTGAGGATGAGCTGCCGTTCAACACCGTTATCAAGCCAAGATTGAAACAAATGTTTTCGACTTGCTTGGGAGCTGTTTACTGTTTCGTGGGCATGGCTCTTGTTAGTTGACCCGTGACCCGGACCCGTGACCTACCTGTAGCCAGGCGGGCTTGAAGGGTCCGACACCACACAGGGTCTCCTCCGGGTCGTCGTCGTCGTCGTCGCCGCCGTCGTCGCCGCCGTCGTGGTGGAGACGGAGCATCTGGCCTATCTCCTCCTCCATTACCTCCCCTGGCACCATCTCCAGCTCCTTTGGCAGGTGTATGCCGTTTTTCTCTATGTCTGTGTTCTCCTCCATATCTGTGTTCTCTGTGGTCGTATTCGCCATGGTCGTGTTCTCCAAAGTCGTGTTATCCTCCATGGTTGCGTCTCTCATGTCTGTGTTCTTCTCCATGCAAAGTTCTTCTTATTCAATATGTTCTTAGCGATAAACCGGCGGCGATTCAATCCAAGTCTGGTCCTAATGTGGAGATAATTCCCGTACCGTCCGGAGGCAATTAGGGTTTAACCATATAACGAGTGTCCCCAGTTCGGTGATAATTCACAATAACCTGCAAATAGTGATAAGTTATCAAATAAGAGAGATAATTATCAATTGAAAACGCCAAGCCATTACGACTATACAGCACTTTATCTTTTGCTACGACTTTCTTCTTATTCATTTAATAAGTTGGTTCTAAGCTTCAGCCAAAAAAAATAAAAATGGTTTAATTTAAAAAGTTCAGGAATGACAGACCTCGAAACCCAAACGAGGCTGTTTGTTCATGAGTTTATAATCCAATGATCATTTTGATCTAGGAATGATTAATATTGAGTTTTAATGTAATGATCATTTAGTTGATATAAGGCAACAATTATTTGATTCACCGTGATGGGTTTGGCTCTATGTCTTGTAATACTTCAATTTTAATGCTGTAATAAGTCAGCTCTAATCCAGTAATAATTTAGCTTTAATCTGGTAATAATTCAACTCTAAATCCTGCAATAATTCAACTCTAATCCTGCAATAATACAACTCTAATCCTGCAATAATTCAACTCTAGTCCTGCAATAATTCAACTCTAATCCTGCAATAATTCAACTCAAATCCTACAATAATTCAACTCTAATCCTGCAATAATTCAACTCTAATCCTGCAATAATTCATCTCTAATCCTGCAATAATTCAACTCTAATCCTGCAATAATTCAACTCTAATCCTGCAATAATTCAACTCTAATCCTGCAATAATTCAACTCAAATCCTACAATAATTCAACTCTAATCCTGCAATAATTCAACTCTAATCCTGCAATAATTCAACTCTAGTCCTGCAATAATTCAACTCTAATCCTGCAATAATTCAACTCTAGTCCGGTAAAAATTCAGAACTAATCCTGTTATAATCCAGCCTGACCGCAGGCTGGGGTTAAAGAGTAGGAGAACTCCCAGAACCCTCTCCAGAAGGGTTCAATCCTGGGACACAATTCACAGACTTTATGACAATTCGATACAAAATCTGGTAAAAATTAGTGTTAGTCTTGTGTTAATTCTTCCATTATCTATGGTAATACATCTTCAGTTTTGTTTACAATCTTATAATCCTATTTCAGTCCTTCGTCGGTCTTATTCAAGTATTAATTCAGTCTTATTTTACGCACTCTATAGTCCGACAGTTTGGATCCAGTTGTCTGCTAGTCTTCCTTCTTTAGTCCGCGAGTCTTTCTTTAGTCTCCCATCTGGGGTCTCCCACTTGAAGTCTCCCACCATTGGGACCAGAGGCTCCCAGGAGGTACATCAAAGATAAGAAGCTGAATGAGATAAGGGCAGTTGAGAGTTAATTGACGCGTTAGATTAGTCATGTCTGGAGTAAAGAAGGTTTCGTATTGAGGATTGAGATAAAGATCTGGGACTGATATCACACTGAACTTGTTCCCTGTTCCGTTTTCAAGAGTAAACGTTACTGGGAGACAGAGAAGTTAGGTGAGACATGATTGCCGCATACACAATTCTCAGAGAAATTGATAGGGTATATAAATCCAGGCTATTTAGCACGGGTGGCACTCGCAGAAGGCGGTACAGGTGGAATCTGTGTACTCAAATCAGCCAGAGACATTATAATTTTTGTCAGTGTCAGAGTAGTTAACAAATGGAATGCACTAGGCGGGGATGTGGTGGATGCTGACTCCATAGGGCATTACCTGAAGGTATAAATCACACGAATAAAGCTTCTACATCTGGAATCTATACTTAAAAGATATTGGAATCTGATGCTCTTATTTGCGTGCGTAGAAGTTTTCACAGTTACCTCTGGACTGAACACGTTTACAACCATCAACTAACAATGACGAGGAACATCATTAACATACACAACCACTAAAGAAATAATTACACTGAACAGAAAGTAATAGAAGCGGCCTATGTATAGACTGACTGCATTAAACTTACACGTAGAGACTTGCTTAAACCTGGCCACAATGTAACTTACCTGCCCGCACGGGCAAGTCCACGTTCAAGGACCCACAGAGTTCCTCCAGTAGGGCAGAGGCGGAAGGCTCACAGGAGAGAGAAAGAGAGGCAGAAGAGCCTCATGTGTGCTTTAGGCTGAGGATGGGGTGGTACTGATGGGCCCGGTGAAGCAGAGCCCCACCTGCCTCCTAACAGCTGCCAGGCACCAGGCAACAGACACATCATGACAGTGCCAAGCTGGACTCGTCTTCTGCTCTAGTTATATAACCACTTTGCCCTCATTCTTCACTCTTCGTGTAACCATCATTCTCTCCAATATTACACACACACACACATATATACACACACACACATATACACACACACACACACACACACACACACACACACACACACACACACACACACACACACACACACACACACACACACACACACACACACACACACACACACACACACACACACACACACACACGGTGACAGAGGGAGAGTGTGTTGCCCCTCGTCATCCTGGAAGACCTTGTGGGTTGAGCCAAGAACACTTTAAGACGTCGCGGCTACGAGGGGCGAGACTTGAGGGGTGTATAAGGAGGAATATCATTATATAAGAATTGTTTATATGGAGGTAGAGGTGACCGTGGGCTTGTAAACCAGGAGCTAATTCCCTGGTGGCGCCCTCTACAGCGGTGCCACACACCTACCGTCTACCATATTTGCTTCTCTCCATTATCTCACCCTCCTACCCATTTTCCCTTTCTATATTCCCAGAGTAATGTAATATTCAATTATACTTAATTTCAGAAGACTGCTAAGATTACTGGTGATCATTTTTCTCCTACATGGCACCACTGGACTCCTTGTCTCACACAACCGTGACCTTTGGCTACTGGAGAGGCACCTGTAGTTCGTGCTTGTTCACGGGTTTTCATGGCATCGGAGAAAATATTTGTGTTCAGTGTTGATTTAGGAGCGTAATGGATCACGTGATGGGAAAAGGCACAAAGTCTTGCGGGTGATGAGAGCCCGTGGGCGGGAGACTATAGCCCCGCCACCCAGATAACACAGTGTGAGGCAGATAGTTGGCGCCCCAGGTCTTGAACCCTACTCACTCACTCACTCACTCACTCTCTCTCTCCACCCTCCCCCCAGACACACACACACGCAGAGCCAGCTACCCCTCAGTGACCACAATATTCCAGACAGGCGTTGGTGCGGCGTTTATCAACGTTGATTTGATCTTGATTCGGCGTTGAATTGGCGATACTATTGGACATTGTGTCCACTGGATGGAAGACAATCGACAGCCAGTGAGCCCCAGATAACAAGGCATCCTGTGAACTGAGGGTAGACGACCCAATTCGAGGCCAAGCGCCAGACTCTCGATGCCCACACTGCTAAACTCCACCCAAATATGCCAAAAGCCCCTCCCTTCCCCCCCCCCCCCCCAAAAAAAAATACTTCCAATAACTTCGGCCAGACAGGCCTGGAACCCGCCAAGACCCACCAACTCCGGCCAAGCCGATCAGGGGCCAGATTCACGAAGCAGTTACGCAATCACTTACGAACATGCACATCTTTCCTCAATCATTGACGGCTTTGTTTACATTTATTAAACAGTTTACAAGCATGAAAACTTTCCAATCAACTGTTGTTATTGTTATAAATAGTCTCCTGGTGCTTCGGAGCTCATTAACTATTGAATAATTGTAAACAAAGCCGCCAAAGATTGAGAAAAGATCTATAGGTTCGTAAGTGTTTGCGTAACTACTTCGTAAATCTGGCCCCAGGACTCGCCCAACGATCCAACCGGAAAACAGCGAGACCTATCGACTTCCTTCTGACTCCAGGCGGTTAGTACTCACCTAATTGTGCTTGCAGAGGTTGAGTTTCGGTTGTTTGGTTCCCGCCTCTCAACTGTCAAATCAACTGGTGTGCGGGTTTCTGAACCAATTGGGCTGAGAAACGGCTGAGTGTCCTACACGACGGAACAATCTGGGTGGTTAAAAGAGGAATGACTGAGGACAGTATCGGGAGCCAATTGGTGCAAATTACGTCCCGTGTTGTGGTGACCCCCAAGATGCATTCATCAATTTCAATCAACGATGCATTTCAATTAACGTATTGTGATTGAAAAAAAAACAGTTTTTTTTGGCAGGTGGAATAACGAGCACTTGGCCCTTGTTTTTTAGGGCGAACTGTGTCCATCGTGGCAACGATAATAAACGCGTTAACAGCAAATGACGCAAAAGGTCGTTACCAGTTTGCGTTACTTGTGCAGGTGGCCAGATTGGAGGAAATATTTAGAACGATCGTAAACATTTTAGATTTCCAGGTTAAGAGCCGGAGGTGGAATGTCTGACAACCGCGTGACGCAGCTCAACAAATCCACAAGGGCCGTGACGGGGATTCGAACCTGCGTCCAAGAGCTCGTCTGGTGCTGACATCAACGTGACGCAGCTTATTTCCAGCCGTAAATATCTGGCTCGCTCCGGACATGCGCATGTTGGGATGCATCATAAGCACATATGACCTTGTAGCCAATGAACATATTGCATCATGAACATATTGCATCATGAACATGTTGTATCATGAACATGATGTATTTCGAACATGGTGTATCAGACTATGTAACCCAAATATTAAAAAGACCATTGCAAATGTTACCACGGAAAAGCAGCAGCAGGGATTACTCTGGTCTACTTCCCTCTCCAGAGAGCGTCATAAACTCTTGGCACAAAACTATAAGGTAAATGACAACAAGAGACAATCGATATGTTAATATTATCTAACCAGAAAAAGTATAAGTACTACAATAGAGAGCTTAACCCCCTATTAGCCATCTACGTCTCGTTGACCAGACCACACACTAGAAGGTGAAGGGATGACGACGTTTCGGTCCGTCCTGGACCATTCTCAAGTCGATTGAGAATGAGACTATCGACTTGAGAATGGTCCAGGACGGACCGAAACATCATTGTCCCTTCACCTTCTAGTGTGTGGTCTGGTCAACATACTTCAGCCATGTTATTGTGACTCATCGCCATCTACGTCTCTCCCTTTCCATAGTTACTTGAATGTGGTTTTGTTTTTCCTTGTTTAAAATGTTCCAAAAGTAGGGACGCATCCCTTGACATGTTTCATTTTCTTCCCTTGCAATTATTCCATTAACTTGAGTATGTTAATGCCGGACCAACCGGGCTGTGGTGGGTATGTGGGCCTGCGGGCCGCTCCAAGCAACAGCCTGGTGGACCAAACTCTCACAAGTCAAGCCTGGCCTCGGGCCGGGCTCGGGGAGTAGAAGAACTCCCAGAACCCCATCAACCAGGTATGTCCACGACGCTCGACCAGTCGATGCACACACACACAGTGGTTTAGAGCTTTTGTGTATAAAGCTTTAGAGCTTCATACAGATCTTGTTTATATAAGAATAACACAGCCAATGGGGGTGCTTGGACTTCTGTAGTTAATAAACCTCAACCCGTCCTCATCAACAAAGGCCAAATGCTCGTTAATCTACCCGTCAAACTCGCTGTTTCTGAATGAAAAACACTTTACACACACGACTCACAGCTCATGACGTTCGAACACTTCTCGAGCAGTGCTCCGTTCACGACCTTTGTTCGAATCCCACTCCCTTGGGTCAGAAATGTTTAAATCCACATATATAGAAATTATGGTCTTTGTGTACCTCTCTCAGCTGAACATTATCGTAGAACTGGTGATCGGAAACATCTTTCCTACTTCTATTTCAACATTCTTTGCTCTTTAACGACTAAGTGTTTTATGACTATCTAAGCAAGATGTGAATGTGCAAGTCTATATGTGAATATGTGGTGAATGTGAGGATAATGTGTTCGTATGCTTGTGTTTGGGCGCGGACGAGGGATCCACGTGGGCTTGGTTTGGTGGTGGGGTTAAGTCCTATCAATCTCTATTGAGTTATCAAGGTTGTATCTTACTGACCAACCAACAAGCATACTTTAGTCCTGAACATTGTCCATGACTAAAGTTAACTCCCAGTGTATATACACCGAGATAAATACATCTCTCTGTGTATTATATATATATATAAAGGTACAGTACATTGTGTGGTGAGAATACGAACCTTGGCTATTAAGTGGTACATTCTTGCAAAGCCACTAACACACACAACTTATCCCGCAAGACCCTAATCTGACCGATAAAGGTAATGAAAGAGACATTGTAATAGAATTTGAACTCTCATAATAACTACCTCAGTATAAATTTGATAGAAAAAAATTATACTGAAGAAGTTGCATATAGTGATATACTAGGTGAGTTAGCAGCACAAGCCAGTGTGTAAGTTAGAAGTATAAGATTGGATGCTAGGGACATGAAATTAGTTACTTTATTGCTCTTTGTTTGAATAAAATATAGGTTGGACAGCTTTTTAATTCAATAGGGAGTGAGTTTCATATATTGAGTAAGTGCATTTAGTCCACCGAGGTGTTTATGTTTCATGTGTGGTTCTTTCATGGTATATGTGATCGATATGTGGGAGTGATCAATATATAGCCTATGTGCTAGTGAGTGGTTGATGTGTGGTCCAAGTCTGGCACCTGTGACCTCCAGGTATGGTTGTCAACCACAATTTGGCAATCACAACACAAGGCGCTCAGCAATCAGGATACCTGATCAACCAGGCTGTGACTCATACGTCAGGCTTTGAGCAGACGCGTCCAACAGCCTAGTTGACCAGTCCAGCAACAAGGAGGCCTGGTCGACGACCGGACCGCGGAGACGCTAAGCCCCAGAAGCCCCTCAAGGTAAGGTAAGGTAATCAGCAACTTCACGATGGCTGTACTTTCTCAAGAAATTCACTGTACCAGCATTCATTCATTCTTAAGCTGACATATTTGGAAGACATTTGTTTAACATGCACGTTAAAACAAGTCAACCGATCAGGCGAAGGATTTAGCACAGACTCGGCTCCTGGGTCTTCTGGTTTGGTACTTGATTGTTCCTTAGCATTCAATTCTAACATATTCATAATGGATAAAAAAAAACTCTCCAAATAAATGAGTTTCTAGTGACAGGCTTCAGGAGAGCTGATGCAAAAATAATAACCCTTAGCTTGCAGTTTCATTAGGAACCTTAGCAACGTTCCTAATGAACCCCCAATCTTAGTTAAAAAGAGACAGAGTGATTAGGATTACGTCTGCACCTTCCGGAGAGTCGAAGACGCCTTGCCCTGCGTCTTCGACTCACCCTGCGGAGCTATAGCTCATCTTTAAGGTCTTGCAACGTCAGCATGTCTGGTACTAGTCTGTGTCAGCTGACTATGATCATCGTAGCTTACAAGGATCACAACGGGTGAAAGAAACCATCCAATGTTTTGTTTTGTTTATATTTATGGTTCCTTCTACTTCACGCCCAACACAATACATAGTTCACTCATGATAAATGTTCCAGACATTTGTCATAGATTCATATTAGTTAAACCCCCTATAATAGCTATATACAGTTGAATGTGCTTGTGTGTTCATCTCAGTATCTTCCAGGATAAATATCTTACTCTTATATATATATATATATCTGACTGTTTAGCCAAGGTTGGAGGCCAGATGCTTGGGGGGTTAGCCTCACCCAACTTTGCAGGGTGACTGGTCTGGGGTACTGGATGGACACACGCTAGGAGGGATCAGCCCAATTCCCCCTATTAAGAGAGAGAGGGCCACAATAATGATCCCCCCCCACTTAATCGGTGAAAATTCCAAGCCAACCACTTTAATTATCTATCTCGCTAAATACCAGATCGATAATGATTGGCATAAATGGTTCATAATAATTGTGGCACTGGCTCATAGTATGTAATGGGTATGATTGTGGCACTGGTTCTAACATGCAGTATGATTGTGGCACTGGTTCATGGAATGTAATGGGCATGATTAAGGTGTGGTTATGTTATTTTCCTGATGTAACATGAGAGAAAAATGTATGCCTTACACATCAATATTATATACACTGCAAGATCAACATCATTAAACACCTTGCAATCTCCTCATCATTTCAGGTCATGTCAAAATGAAATCATGTTTAAGACTCGACTGTTGGGAAGCAGCAGACTGTGTATATCAGTATATAATGAACCCACACACACAAACCCACCCACCCACCCACCCACACAACACACACTCACACACACACACACCCACACACACACACACACCATCCATGACCTGGTCGGAATATGAGCCTCGCACTGGCGTTCACGACTGCTACGCTGGAGGGTTGAAATCCTCGTCTTTGTGAGCGTTTAAGGGCTTCGACTCCTCCTCCTCCTCCCCCACCTCGTCCTCCTTGGACGTGTCCTCGGGCCTCTCCATCTCCACATCGTCGTCTCTGTCGCCGTAGAGGTCAAGCTGATGACTGTAGTGAAACACGACCAGATCACCGAACACCGAGATGAAGGTGAACACTGAGGACGGGGGGAGGAGGAGGAGGGGAGAGAAACGTTATCATTACGACTTTATTACTACTGTCACCACAACTATTATCACTGCAGTTGCTCTCACTGCTATAACTACCACAACTATTCTACTACTACTCTACCACTACTTCAACTACGACTACTACAACTATTATTACTACTGCTATGAAAATTAATGATTCTATTAATTTTAATATAATTATATCAGCACAATCACTACTACTAATAATAATTATAAAGACAGTAGTGCAGATAATTATAGGTGCGTCAAAAGATCTGACAGATATATCAGAGCTTCAACAGATGTGAAAGAAGCCTTCACAGGTGTGTGTGTGTAAACAGAGTCAGTGTATGACGAGTTCAAAAGAGGGTAGACATACCTGCAGGCACCAGGTGTATAATGGTCCGAAACTTGTCAGAGTCATAGAGCCAACAGTTGCCGTATACACCACACGACTTGTCCCACACCAGACACGACGAATCTGGTACACACAACACATAGTTTACATCAGGCACGCGAAAAAAGTTTACAATAATAATGATTATTGGAACGCTCCGGAGATTCGTACCAGCGTTCTGGGTCTCCACAGCCGCGCCACTGGGATATCCTAGTGTGAATAATTATAAAAAAATTAAAAACAAAGACACTCGACCCACATATCTCAAGGTAAAGGAAGAGACGACGTTTCGCTCCGTCTTGGACCATCATCAAGTCATGTAAGTCAATAGATAAGGTAAGAATGAGGTCGGAAAGGCCAGAAGACAAGAAGTTTACCATAGCAGTTAACAGGGGCTAAATAAAACAATAGACCTAATGGCGAAGAGGAAGAGGTGAAATAGAACATAAGAACAAAGGTAACTGCAGAAGGCAAAAGACAAAAGTGATTGGCAACATAAGGGAAAGAAAAGAGAAATATGGCCTAATTGACAATTACGTTACTGTGACAATATACATAATATACATAATAATAAAAATAATAATAATAATAATCAGAAATGAGACACAAAGTTCAAGTGATGTTTTAACTACCCTGGGAGAGCCAGTTAATTACAATCACCCACAATCACAATTATAAAAATCACACAGTATCACCTCAGCTGAAATACTCTCTTTTGCTATTCCAAGTCAATGGAACCTCTCTAGATTGAACCACATCAATTTAAATGTGAAAAAATACAAATTCATGCCTAAGGAACACTTAGGATTCATTTAAGATTAAGATTAAGATTCACTTAAAGAGGCATTCCCATGCCTAAACCACCATAGTTTATTCAAGTCTTAAACACTCGTCTTAAGCACCTATTTACTAATAATCTCTAAATTAGCACCTTTATTCATCCACATATAAAGTGAAAGAGTAGCAAGTAAATCACTCTTATAATCGTCCACAAACGTCTTAATTAATTACCATTAAAATTACCCTCAAAATTAATTATCATCTTCCTAAAGTTGCATCAATAATTATACATGACTCATAACTCACCTATAATCCCACTCATTATAAATAATTATATCTAAAATTACTAGTATTATATTATTTCCAACGATTATAACTCCACCTACCAATCAAAGTTACGATAATCATATGTAATCACCACCGTTGAGGGTAATTATGAGATTATCTCTCCACTTACCTATAATTGCTCCCATAATTATAGGCGCCGGGATAAAGCCGAAGAAACTAATGAAGACGGTCAGAGTGCCCAGGGCCAGACCTTTATCCTCGTCTGCCACTGATCTGGGGGAGTGAGGGAGGGAGGGGCACCGTGAGAGAGCATGATAGGGCGTGAGAGAGCATGGTAGGGCGTGAGAGAGCATGATAGCACAATGTATATCACATCACATATACCAATATAAATACTGTTACAAATAACCCAACACACTCATATTTTTGTTAAAGATTATCTTGTGTGTTTGTGTGTGTGTGTGTGTGTGTGTGTGTGTGTGTGTGTGTGTGTGTGTGTGTGTGTGTGTGTGTGTGTGTGTGTGTGTGTGTGTGTGTGTGTGTGTGTGTGTGTGTGTGTGTGTGTGTGTGTGTGTGTTACCTGAGGTGAAGGACGCTGGAGCCGACTCTGCCTGTAGACGATATGGTCTTGATGATGATCTGGAAGACGAGGTAATAGAAGAAAGTGTCGCAAGGCTCTGGACAGTACCCGCTCCTCCCGAACCCCAGAGTCTCGTCAACCTGTAGTGTAGAGGAGGTGGTAGCGATGGTGGTAGTGGTGGTTGGGTGGTGGTTTGGTAATGGTGATGGTGGTACTATTAACTATATAAAGACATACTTACATAGATGGCCAAAATGCTATCATTTCTACATCAAATATGAAAGAAAACGCTGAACATACACTCTGAAGATGGTGAACACAAATATATATTTACGGCAAAGCATCGTCTTAAATATTTAATATAGTTCAACAGGGTATTTATCTGGTTCCTTCCGTCTCTCCTTGCTCCACTTCTATGTTTAATGTTTTCTTAAGAAACACGAGATTAATTGGAGCTTACTTAGATCTTACTTTAATCACAGACAATTATGCATCATAACCGTATTTCATACAGATAAGATATAGCATTGTTTACACTTAAAATATACTAATTGCCCCACTTAAGATAGTGTTTTTTGCACTTAAGATATAACATTCCTTACAGATAAGATATAGAATTCTTTACATTTAAGATCACGAATTAAATGAATTAAAGAAACCGGCTGCCACCTTAACGATGTTGTCTCAGCACATAGCAAGATATTTAGTGTTGTGAATTAAGATGTGCACAACTCAGCTGTCAAGATGACGGGGGATAACATCTGTCAGCGGACGAAAATCTATTGTATGCTCTACCTCTGCCGGCGGAGAGGAGGAGGAGGGTGCTGAGGAGGTGTTGAATGGACCAGTGAGCTGAGATGAGTTGCTGGAAATGCACCGACACTCGCTGAACATCTGCAACATACACACACAATGTAATGTTGCACTTCATGAATTCAACTGTTGCAAGGCGTTGTAGTAGAGTTATGCCAATGAGTGAGACGAGTTCATGCAACACTAAATTGGATAAGTTTAGATTTAGGAAAGACTTGGGTAAATACTGGTTCAGTAACAGGGTTGTTGATTTGTGGAACCAATTGCCGCGTAACATTGTGGAGGTGGGGTCCCTCGATTGTTTCAAGCGTGGGTTGGACATGTATATGAGTGGGATTGGGTGGTTATAAATAGGAGCTGCCTCGTATGGGCCAATAGGCCTTCTGCAGTTGCCTTTGTTCTTATGTTCTTATGTAACACGATACTACAGTGAGGCATGACACTATATGCTGCCTACTGTGAGAGTTAGGCACACCCACATCTGACATCAGAGACTGCAAAGTATTTTATTTACTTGCGACATCTTCATTTTTTTTATTGATGTTGATAAGTTTTGGTACGTCAAGATGGCGTCACTACGGTTGTAATTCCCGCCTTAGGTCATTGTCATCTCTTTTTATCCAATGAAAGGCATCCCCATTGGTGATTGGACAAGCACTCTGATGTCTGATGCAGGAGCACCTTCTATAGGACCAACACAGGAGAACTTACAATAGGACTGACGGAGGTGTTCGCGACGGCGCAGCCAGCGTAACACGGAGAATAGAACACAGTTTTCAGGTCCTGAGAACAAACAGGAGAGAACCGGTCCGAACAGCCACAGTCAACGGAACAGTCTGGCCCCGGCGCCCTGTGGAACAGATGGACACACTCTCGTCATCATCAACACTCTTCTAATTATCAAACGCACAATCAACAGTCACGCAATCAACACTAATAAACATATGTACAATCAGTATACACGCAAGCAACAGTCGCACAATCATTTTATATGCAAATATCACTTGCACAACGAATAGTTGCTGAACAGTTAAACAATCATCAACAATAATTAAGAGCAGCAAACGTACCCATCGACGGGGCCGAGGACGGTGAGCTTCGGGCAGCCGATGAACATGAGGATAATGAAGCCGGCTGTGAGGAAGAGGGTGACGAAGATGTTATAAGCTGCCACGTAGCGGGGTCTTGGCCTCACCCACCTCATGATGGCACCACCCATGCCAGTGCCAAGCACCACGGACGCGAAGCTGGCCATTCCTGTTCACCAAAGAACTCATTAGAACCCAAAGAATTCACAATAACATTTGAGATATTTTTGCTGTGGCTTTTAACTATGGATTTCAGTATCTTTTTATGAACCGACTTTAACCAGGTCAACTCCTCACCTGCTCCACAAGCTTCGCCAGTACCATCACCTTATCCTACGTGTTCCTTAACTGACCTTATCTCTTCCTTCTGCGACCTTGTGTGTGTGTGCCTCAACTCAACCAGCGGCGCCCCTGACCTCCACCAGTGGTGCCCCCTGACCTCCACCAGCGGCGCCCCCTGACCTCCACAAGTGGTGCCCCCTGACCTCCAGCAGTGGTGCCCCCTGACCTCCACCAGCGGCGCCCCCTGACCTCCAGCAGTGGCGCCCCCTGACCTCCACCAGCGGCGCCCCCTGACCTCCAGCAGTGGTGCCCCCTGACCTCCAGCAGTGGTGCCCCCTGACCTCCAGCAGTGGCGCCCCCTGACCTCCACCTTACCGGTATAGTAGTTGGCCTCCGTGGCGCTCTTGCGGAACTGGTTCTCCAGGTACTTGGGCTTGAAGTTCCAGTAGCCGGAGAGAGCCAGGATGATGACCACGGTGTTGAAGAGGTTCCCCACCCACAGCTTGTTGGTGAAGAGTCGCTTCAGCGCCTTCTTCAGGTCTGCGGCAGAGAGGGGAACGAGTGGCGTTGAAGAGAACTTTGACAGGAGAGACGAGAGAGAGAACATATAGAATATTATGTAATGAAAACCTGAACATATTCCCCCCCCCCCTCCTAACCGGCGTTCAAGAAGGCGCTGTGGACGTAGACATTACGTCTGAACCGTTAATGATCACACAATTCGTTTCACAGTAAAATTCACTGAGGTGGCTGATAAGGGTGTACACCAATCAACAGAAGGCTGAGGGAGGTATCAGCCAATCATGTGGGCAAACGGTGATTACGTCAGAGGTGGTGTGCGAGTGTTGACGGTGACGTCATCATACAGAGGGTATATATAAACTCCAAACTCTGAAGGAGATATATATACACTGAGAGGTATACGTCGCTTCTAGGTGTATACACAATGTGAGTTTATCTGAGTCCTCGACTATGTTGAGGACTAGATTATGCTTGCTGGTTGGTCAGTAAGCAATACTGGTAGCCTCAATAACCCTCCAGAGGTTGATAGGCCTTAAGCCCAACACCAGACCAAAAGAGTATGGAAGGGGGGGGGGGAGATGTATATACTGAGAGGTATACCCCATTTCTAGGTGTACATGCTCTGAGAGGTTACACAAATCTTGGGCTATGTTCAAAACTAAAGTACCTTGATTGTTATCAGTAAGCACTTGGACGGCCTTAATAACCCTACTGAGGTTGAAAAGCCTTAAGACCAATAACAAATACTAAAATAAGCAAGTATTAACTGGTGGAAGAAGCCTCCCGTGGTCTACAGATAGACGGTCTGGTGCTCAGTAGTGAGTGAGTGTGGCAGACAGAGACGTCTTGTGTGGAGTGGGTCCTGCGGCAGGGTGCTCCAGGACGGACTGAGAGACCCGTAGGACCAGTCAGTAGACAAGGCAGGAGTATGTGTGTGTGTGTGTCCGGCGAGAGGGGGACCAGCCGTCCTGTGAAGCACTGACGGACAGCCTGGGATGCGTAGCTTGTGCACATTATCTGCAAGGGGCGAATGGCGTGCTCAACACGAGACCTGATTAGTGATCACAGTGAACTATAAGCTGTGAACTGTGCTACTTATTGACAAGTGGCAGACGTTCACTGTGTTTGTAGTAGAAATGGAGTTGGTGCGTCTTTTCAATAATGTATTGTAATGCCAAGGGAGTTCCAGATAGTGAGCTATGATACCAAGAAGGTACTGTAGAGCGACTGTGAAGTACTCGGAAAATCACGAAACTGTAGAACTCGGTGAATAACTAATAGAGGCGGCAGAAAAATATTGCACGATGGAGGATCTTGTGACAGTGATCATCAGGAACTGTAAACCAAACACGGACAGAAGACAGTTTTTTCTGTGGTTGTCACTCTACGGACGACTCAAGCCCGTGTTGATTATCTACAGCATAGAAGGGTACACTGAACCAGAGGCAACCAGGGGTAAGCCAGGCTCTAGTCCTGTGCAAATATCTTTTTTAAGAAATTTTAAGTTGGGTTGTTTAATTTCTATTGCTTCTTAGTGGTTGGGTTGTCTCCATTTGATATTGGAATTGAATTCCGTCTTTGGGATACCATTCCAGTCGATCCCTTGAAAGAGAAGAGGAATTAATTCATAGGTCAGCGAACAGGCAGTCAGTTTATACATACAGTAAACTTACTGACCCTCCCCAGGATACAACCCCGCAACAAGCTAACTCCTAGGTACCTATTTATTGTTAGGTGAACAGGGAGCATTTGGTGATACGAAACGCACCCAACCATTTCTGTCCTGCCCTGGATTCGAACCCGGAATTCCCGATTGTGAGTCGATAATGAATCCGACTGTACTTCGAGGACCCTTAACCTAGCACAGTGGTTTGTATCCACCCTGGTGAGACGACACCTCTGGCTGTGTGGGCTAGGAAGGGATAAACAGGTATAGGTACAGTTTCTCAATAAGATCGCTGAGGCAGTTTCCACCAACACAGTTTCAGTGTTGGTGGAATCTATTAGTGGATATTTTCTGACAGAAGAGTGAGTCCACTGATAGAATTCGTCGGTGAGCTGAAGAGGAGTGTGACCCTTTTCCTGGGCTCTCAAGCAACTATTGAGGACCTATGTGCTCCTGATGATCCAGAGATGTTGAATAGCATTGAGGGATAGGAATTGAGCCTTGCAGTCCTGTTTACTGGGTCTGTGGAAGCGCCCATGTTAACTGACGATTCAGCAAGGGATGCCAAAGCCACTCAGCTGGTCAGAGGAGCGCTGCCCGGATAGTTCTCGGAGAGGACTGTGCCAGGGTGGAGTGCTATGGAGGCTTTAAAGCTTCCTCAGTAGGGACAAGATCTGCCGAAGGTGTGCCAGTGCGGGCGGGTAGGTATCCGGGTACGTCTCTCTCTCTCTTCTCACTCTCCCTTTCTCTCACACACACACAGTGATGTGGTGGCGGCAGACTCCGTACAAAGTTTCAAATGTAGGTATGATAAGAGCCCAATAGGCTCAGGAATCTGTGATTGCCAGTCGAAAGGCGGAACCAAAGAGTTCGAAGTCAAACCCCCACAAGCACAATTAGGTGATTGAAGAAAATTAAACCACCCAAGAGGTGGCACGGGCATTAATAACCAATAACAATGTGGTGAGTATACACAACATTTTACAGTACACTCACTGGGGAGGTTCGGTGTCGCCTCCATCTTCTTGGTGCGGGCGAGGGAGGCGAAGTACTCGACGCCTCTCCTGCTGTCGTCCTTGCTCGCCTGCCTCAGCGCCCTCTTCGCTTCCCTCTTCAGCGTCGCCGGCATTTTGCGCGGGAAGAGGAACAGCAGCAGCCCGCAGAACACCAGCCCGCACCCGATGAACAGGTAGCCTGGGGGATGGTGGTAGTTGTGGTGATGGTGGTAGTCGGTGTGGTGGTTAAAACAAGTATTTATAATCTTATGTGGAGAACTTTTTAAAGACGATTTGAATTCACACGCCTATCGAAGTGTGTATATTTCTTACTTTAAATTGAATATAAGAAAGTCATACAGATTTTTGTGATTGGTTAATGATTAATTCAATCACTACTAACAAGAACGAACCAGCCTTACCTAGCCACCAGGCGCCGAGCCACCGCGGGTCCTTCCTGGTGAGGTTGGGACTCTGGGACGGGTCTATCCACAAGGAGAGGCACTTCCCTCCCACTAGATAACCCAGGACAGGTCCCAGAATCCTCAGCAGCAAGGTCACAGCTGCAAGGAGGGGAGAGCGGGAAGAATGTCAACATTCAAGACGGTGGAACAGCAGAATATATCGTCTATTGTTTGAAGGATCGAGGACCGGGCCGCGTGGACGTTGAGCCCCGAAATCATCGCAAGGTAACTGCAAGGTCGGGTGACTGGGAATGCACTTACTTGTAATGTAAGCCAACCATATAAGCTCACAGTATTAGGTAGTGGATCACGTCAGAACCATTCTTAAGAAGTGTAATAGTAACATTAAACTAAAGTCAGAGCAGGGCGGTGGCCTTTGATATACTGCCTCACAGTATTAGATGGGGTCAGCTCATAATAGTAGGTGGGGGGTCAAGGTACAGTATTAGGTGGGGTCAACTCACAATAGTAGATGGGGTAGTCCTTTTTGTTGATGTTGTCGTCAAGGTAGGTGACGCCGATGCTGTAGAAGATGCTGATGGCGATGCCGACGAAGAACTGGGAGATGAAGAGCAGGACAACGGGGCCGACGTAGGACTGCCCGTGGAGAGCGTCGCACGACTCCTCATCCTCTGGGTTACCCCCTGAGAAGCACACCTCCGTTTTCTCTGAAACACCAAGACAACTGGGACTAATATTTAATCCGTGCTTTTATATTATGACGACTACTGTCCATGTGGTCGTCACACATACACTGCCCATGTGGTCGTTACACACACACTGTCCATGTGGTCGTTACACACACACTGCCCATGTGGTCGTTACACACACACTGTCCATGTGGTCGTCACACATACACTGCCCATGTGGTCGTCACACACACACTGTCCAAGTGGTCGTCACACATACACTGCCCATGTGGTCGTTACACACACACTGTCCATGTGGTCGTTACACACACACTGCCCATGTGGTCGTTACACACACACTGTCCATGTGGTCGTTACACACACACTGCCCATGTGGTCGTTACACACACTGTCCATGTGGTCGTTACACACACTGTCCATGTGGTCGTTACACACACACTGTCCATGTGGTTGTCACACATACACTGTCCATGTGGTCGTTACACACACTGTCCATGTGGTCGTTACACACACTGTCCATGTGGTCGTCACACATACACTGTCCATGTGGTCGTCACACACACACTGTCCATGTGGTCGTTACACACACACTGCCCATGTGGTCGTTACACACACTGTCCATGTGGTCGTTACACACACTGCCCATGTGGTCGTCACACACACTGCCCATGTGGTTGATTACACCAGGGGTTCTGTGGCAGTGACTACCCCCCATTTAAGCCATTTAAGGAATGAAATGCGGACCCCTGTTACTTCTTCCATCTCAAATTATCTCCCTCATTCGTTCCTTGCTCACACCCTCTCTCTCTTTAAATCTTCCTTTGCCTCTTTTATCCTCTTTCCATCTTTCTCTCGTTCCTTCCATACTCTTCCTTCCTTCTTCCCTCTCTCTTTCTCTCCCTCAACTCACTAGTTTTCTTAGCGAGTCCGGTAACGTTCGCTAGGAGGTCTCCCACGCTGCCAGAGGAGGTCTCAACGATGTCGATGGCGTCCTGGCCCGGCCCGTAGACGAAGTGGGGGATGGCCGCCACGAAGCAGGAGACGGCTGCACACAGCACTCCGAAGCCCACCCAGCGCGGGCGGTGACCATAGTTGCCATAGTAACCGAGCAGCATCGCCAGAATCACCTGCGAGATGTCGTTGCCAGCGAGCATGGTGCCTGGGAGGAAGGGAGGGGAAGAGAAGGGATGCTGGTAGTGATAACGTGTGAATGTTTTGATGGCTGACTTTGGTACAGCAGTTGTGAGAGGAGAATATTGCTCAAAAGATGATAAAGAGGGCGTTGCCTTGATGATTATGGCAATAAGAACACGAAATGTTTATGCAGAACAATAAATTGCGATACAACAACACCAATCAGATCTATAATGGGCTACACTACACTAATTTCGTATTCCTATCCAGAGTCTTATTTAAAGCTGGTAGCCCAAATTTAAGAGAGCAGCCTCGGATCTGGTGAGAAGAACAGTTGATGTACTTGTGTACAACGGCGCACCTCCACACATGGAGATGTGGCTGGTCTGTGTGTTCTACAAAGTTCACACATTGTATAACCGGCATTTAGCGTCTCTATATGTTCCTTCCTCAAGAACAAACTACCAAACAAGGGGATCGATATGTGACAACCAGATGTTATCTCTGAACGAACACAGACATTTCCACGTTCTTGTCACCTGAAATACGTACAATTACGAAACCCATTTTGGCAAGAAACTGGCGACCAAAACATTCTGACACTTCAACAACTCATAAATCTTGAAAATGAATGACTGATAATAAAAATGTCATTCAAATAGTCCAACCACTTAAGGTGGACGGTAGAGCGATGGTCTGGCTTCATGCAGGTCGGCGTTCAATCCCCGACCGTCCAAGTGGTTGGGCACCATTCCTTTCGTCCCATCCCAAATCCTTATCCTGACCCCCTTCCCAGTGCTATATAGTCGTCGTAATGGTTTGGCGCTTTTCCCTGATAGTTGTTGTTGTTCAAATGTTTCAGATCAAAACATCAAGGGAAGTGTGGGTGACAGATTATATAGTAAGGGCGTGGATCACTAACTCCTCTGAGCCTCAGTAATAGTCAGGCAAGTGTGGGTGACAGATTATATAGTATGGGCGTGGATCACTAACTCCTCTGAGCCTCAGTAATAGTCAGGCAAGTGTGGGTGACAGATTATATAGTATGGGCGTGGATCACTAACTCCTCTGAGCCTCAGTAATAGTCAGGCAAGTGTGGGTGACAGATTATATAGTATGGGCGTGGATCACTAACTCCTCTGAGCCTCAGTAATAGTCAGGCAAGTTGAAAATTCCAGTTTGGCAGCAGTAATGGCTTCTGGAATCTTTCCTTATTAAGCTTGCTCATAGCTCAGTCGGTAGAGCGGCGGCCTCACACACGTGGGGTCCGTGGTTCGAGTCCCCTAGAGCCCAGATGAATGAGACACATAACTATTAAGTGAAAATAGAGTATCGCCGCACACGAGATTATCTTGAGATGATTTCGAGGCTTAGCATCCCCGCGGCCCGGTCCTCGACCAGGTCTCCTTTTTGTTACAACCCCCCCAGAAAGCAGCCCGTAGCAGCTGGCTAACTCCCAGGTACCTATTTACTGCTAGGCAACAGGGGCATCAGGGTGAAAGAAACTCTGCCCTAGTGTTTCCGCCTCCGCCAGGGATCGAACCCGGAACCTCAGGACTACGAATACCGAGCGCTGTCCACTCAGCCGTCAGGCCCCCTGGAGCAGACCACTGCTAGACAGATGATGAGCCGGGATGACGCAACATACGCCAACTGACTCCACCTTGCAAGACTCCAGCATGATGATGTTTCAGATTTAGCTACTCAAGACGAAGTGTCCATGTAGCACGGGCTATGGTGAGCCCGTAAGACTCCAGCATGATGTATTGCATGACATTTACACCTGCATTGCCAGTGAGTGAGACGCCTGACCCAGAAAATCTCGCTCACCCGCATCCACTCAACCACCTAAACTATTGCTAATTCTTAAAAGCTGTCAAACTTTACTGAACCAGGTGATACAAAATATTCTATATATGAATTCTTGAAAGGCTGGTGTTAAATTTGCGCTCTAAAATGATTTGAAGTCTTAACATAAAGTGCCCATTGTTTACCCAAACATTTCCTTTACATATATAGAAAGCTTATAATACCTTCATTATTGTCTTCAATAACGAAATTATGATAACAAGGAACCTAACAGCCCCTGGATTCCCCCCCCCTCCTTTCTGGCCAGTGATTGGTCAGTGGAGATGGTGAGTTTAGGAACCATCACAAGGTAGATTCATCCTAATTATCATCATTATCAAGATTGCAGCATCATTCTTGACGTCTCCACCAGCATCCCACAAGTATCCCCGCATCTCCTCTTGTGAAGTGGATGATTGGGTAGTTATGAAGAGCGTGTGAGAAGTAGGTCACAGGGAGATCACAGGGAGATCACCCCTACGCTTGGCTACCGCTGTCTATATGTCACTGTGACGTAGGTTAAGTCCCTGTCTGTCAAGAACTGTGTTATATCGCTGTCTGTCTATCGTCAAGACGTAGGCTACCCCGCTGTCTGTCTGTTGCTGATACCTTGGTTACCCTCAGGATGAAATTTGTTATATACCCTGGTAGGTGTTGGTTACGCCGCTCTTGTCTGCCCTTATATCTATCTGCTGGCTCTAATCTGCCGTTAGTTCTGTCCATATATATGCTAGCTTGATATCTCTGCCTGCTTATCTTGTGACTAACACTGCCTGTCTGTCTGTCTGACGGCTGTACCCTGCCAATCAGAGTCAGTTACCCCTCTACTGCCTGTTTACCTTTCTGCCAGTTCTCTTTTACCTATCCATCTTTCATTCGATTACCCTGTCTGTCTGTCTGTCTGCCTGTCTCCCTGGGAGCTCCTGTCAGCGTTGCTCACCCGTCTGTTTACTGGTGAGCTTGAAGCGCTTCTCGATGGTGGAGATGGTGGAGACGGTGTAGGTGAAGAACATTCCTTGCGTCAGCCCCACCATGCAGTACACCAGCAGGTACACCTCCTTCCTCGCCAGCACCTGATAGGGCAGGAGACAAGGGCGTATTGGTAAACTGGGTGGTAGGGGGATAACAGAATACAAGAATACAATAATGCAGTTTCCTCGATAGTTTCCTTATATAAACCTTAATCGTGTTGTTTAACATGATGACCAAAGCATATACCTGAAGTTGATGACGAGACGACGACGTTTTGGTCCGTCCTGGACCATTATTAAGTCAACAATAGACTTGATTATCAATCGACGTTTCGGTTCAGGACGGACCGAAACGTCGTCGTCTCATAATCGTTTTCAGGTGTGTGGTTTGGTCATCATATCTTCAGCCACGTTATTGTGACTCATCGTCTGCGTTTTTTTAATAAATAATTGATCATCGTTTAACTTTTAAGAGGCGTTGGTGGTGGTTGGTGCAGGAGATACGAGCCTCGTTGCTCTTGTCGTCACCAGTTGAATGCAGTGAGGCTTATCCACTCTGGCAGTTTCATTCGTTGTATGTGACAGCAGGAATCCCATTCAAGTAGGCCTACGATTCGGTTATCATGTTAGGCCTGGGTTTCAATCTGTTGGGCCTAGGCTCCAATGATAATACCAGTTGTGGGGTAAATGTCTATTTTTACACAATCTTAAACTACGTGCCACTGTCTACTTTCATTTTGAATATGATGGGCACGTCTGTACCTCAGTCTCTCTACTCCTCTAGTTGTGCTTGGAGGGTCGAGCTTCTGTTCTTAAGCCCCGCCTTCGACCATCGTTAGTTCAATGCAGTGACTCTTTTCACTTGTTTTTTTTCTACCCATTTTACCTTTAGAGCTGTGTTTTGGACTGACCTCGACAACTTCCTTACCTAGTCTGGTCCACCTCCTTATGACTCTGAAGTTCTTTCTGACATCCCTGTGACTGACCTATGTTTCTAGTTTCCAATTGTGTCATCCCGTTCTACTGTTCTTTAATTTGAACATTGGCTTCTATATTTACTTGGTCAATCCACCTTGGAATCTTGTACGTCGTTATCATGTCTGCAGTATTCCTTCTTTTCTCCAGTATAGTGAGGTCCAGTTTCCTTAAGTCTTTTTCATAGTTAGCTTAGCTCAGGAACGAGCCTTGTTGCATATTTTTTAACCTTTTCTAGAATTGCTTTGTGTTTCTTAATGTAGGGGGTGGATGTCAATAATGGATGTCACAAAGGCGCTCGGAAGGAATCTTTGTCCAAGTTACTGAAGGATAACGGGAATTGCCAGAATGGTATATTGCTGCCCTCGTTATCCTGGTGATGTTCCTCTTATGTTATATCTCCAGTTATGTCCACGCCTAAAACTAAGTCTTATAATATAACTAGCATTAAAAATGTCTGAAATAATTCGCTCAAAAGACTGAACAAATATTAAAGTCTAAGAAGAACAAAGGTGTTGTGCATCAAGTAATTAGTGTATAACATCGGATCTCTTGACTGGAATAGGTATACTGTGAGTGAGTTCGGATCCCAGTGTTGTAGCGTAAACAGTTTTCCTCCTGTAGTTGCAACGTAATACAATTTGGCCAATTATGTTGCAGCTTAAGGCACTACGACGTTTTTGTTGCTGTGAAACACAATTCTGATTGGACGTTGTCTGGTTGAACTGTCTGAACCTAACATAAGTTAGATCAAGCTGTTTTGGTCTCGCTCAGTCAATCCTAAACTATGATAACAATATGCAGCTCATACTGGCCTAGTGCTTTCTCCTGAGAATTACCGTCCCTCACACTATCCTAAGATATCCAGTCATGCCTGACACTAGCTCCAAGATTCTCTAACCACACAGGTGAGAATATCTTGAGCTACTCATTCCTTTGTATGTATTTATACCTCATATCACCTCACCCAAATGCAGGTATAAAATCAAATCTGTTTAAACTCTGTTTAGTGTTTGCAGGTTATAGTTGTGTGTGTGTAAACTAAAGTCTTTGAAAATGTAATAAGTTATTATGAAACGGGTTCAAGTGTCGCGTCAGACTAGAAATACAAATGAATTTTGGAGAACTGATTTTCAATTACCATCGACAATGAAAAGAACCATAAGAAATATTAAGAAAATTCGTGTTAGAATTATTAATCTTACTTTTTCGGTCATATTTAATAATATATGTCTACAGGAAAGACTGCTACCAAAATATACTAATTTATACCTCAATAAACTTATTTCAATTTCGACCAAAGATCACATTTACTCCCCCCCCCAAAGAAGTAATCTACCACTTACGGGCTATTCATGCCCGTGCCACCTCTTGGGTGGTCTAATCTTCATCAATCAATCAATATTTCAATTCAGGTAAACTGAGGTGAAGTGCTCACCTGCAGCCAACTGGGCTTAAACGGTCCTATCCCACATAGGGTCTCGTTCTCATCGTCCTCAGTGTGGATCAACTCTCTCGTCTGCCTGATGTCTTCTTTGGTGAGCTTCAGCTTCTTCTCATCCTGCCTCAAGAAGCTGGGCTTAGAGAACAATCTAAGATTGGAGAAGAAGCTTGACCTGGTCGAGGAGTCAGACTTGCTTGGGAAGTTAGACTTTCCTTCACTCTCCACCAGGCCATTCTTTTCAGTCATCTTGCAGAGTCTGAAAAGAACAAGAATATTTGAGATTTGTTGACAGTTTTAAGGAATGGAGAAATGTGCTTAAAGGTAGTGACAAAGCTGAGTGCACTACAACTGTACCACCACACCACAAAGCTGAGTGCTCTACCACTGTACCACCACACCACAAAGCTGAGTGCTCTACCACTGTACCACCACACCACAAAGCTGAGTGCTCTACCACTGTACCACCACACCACAAAGCTGAGTGCTCTACCACTGTACCACCACACCACAAAGCTGAGTGTTCTACCACTGTACCACCACACCACAAAGCTGAGTGCTCTACCACTGTACCACCACACCACAAAGCTGAGTGCTCTACCACTGTACCACCACACCACAAAGCTGAGTTTTCTACCACTGTACCACCACACCACAAAGCTGAGTGCTCTACCACTGTACCACCACACCACAAAGCTCAGTGCTCTACCACTGTACCACCACACCACAAAGCTGAGTGCTCTACCACTGTACCACCACACCACAAAGCTGAGTGCTCTACCACTGTACCGCCACACCACAAAGCTGAGTGCTCTACCACTGTACCACCACACCACAAAGCTCAGTGCTCTACCACTGTACCACCACACCACAAAGCTCAGTGCTCTACCACTGTACCACCACACCACAAAGTTCAGTGCTCTACCACTGTACCACCACACCACAAAGCTGAGTGCTCTACCACTGTACCACATAACCCGAATGCACCCGGGCAAGTGATGATTGATGAAGATTATGCCGCCCAAGGGGGTGGCCCGGGCACAGAGCAGCCTGTAACCGGACAAGGGGTTGAATGAGTTGATAAATACCCTCTCTTGCTTTTGTTGCGTGGTGGTACAGTGGTACAGCAATCAGCATTAGACAATCGGCGACTAGAAAAGTGGAGTCAAAGAGTTAGAGCTGAATCCTGCAGGCACCAATAGGTGCGTAGAATACCAGCTGGCGTAGAGTTGAGCATGACATGAGTGAAAGTGACAAGGACATGAGTGAAAGTGACAAGGACATGAGGGAGAGTGATAAGGACATGAGGGAGAGTGATAAGGAGATGAGGGAGAGTGATAAGGAGATGAGGGAGAGTGACAAGGACAGACGGGTACCCTGTGTCTGTACTTCTGTCTCCTTTCAGTGAGGGAGGATGTGTAACTGGTGAGGTGTACCTGGATTGTACCTGGATGGGGTTCTGAGAGTTCTTCTACTCCCCAAGCCCAGCTCGAGGCCAGGCTTGACTTGTGAGAGCTTGGTCCAACAGGCTGTTGCTTGGAGCGGCCCGCAGGCCCACATACCCACCACAGCCTGGTTGGTCCAGGTGTACGAAGTATGGCTGAGTTGTATGATGTATGGGTGAGGTGTATGATGTATGGCTGAGTTGTATGATGCATGGGCGACGTGTATGATGGTGTAGTGTATATATCATTGCCATATTGAGTAGTCTCTCGTGTTCCTCGAGTGCCTTGTTTCACCGACACATGAATCGTTTGAGCTGACCCGAGGTCACGCGAGTGAAGAGAACTGAGTGCGGGTTTACGTTATGTGTGCACTATCCTCAGTCGCACTCTTTCGTCTCGCCAGTCCTGTCTTGAAGCACTCGGCCGCCCGAGGCACTTACAAACACACTCTTCCGTCTCGCCAGTCCTGTCTTGAAGCACTCGGCCGCCCGAGGCACTTGCAAACACACTCTTCCGTCTCGCCAGTCCTGTCTTGAAGCACTCGGCCGCCCGAGGTACTTACAAACACACTCTTCCGTATCGCCAGTCCTGTCTTGAAGCACTCGGCCGCCCGAGGCACTTACAAATACTCTGTCCTTACACCAGTTCGATGAGAGTAAGGAGGAAAGTGGCGGAGGAGCTTGGTAGAAGCACCCAAGTTCTCGACTTGCTCGTAGTGGGGTGAAGTCGACGACTGATAATGGCTCCAGGAGGAGCCTGCTACCCATCCTCGTCCCTCACTCTCCCTCCCCTCTCTCCCTCTCCTCTCCTCCTCCCTCTTCTCTCCTTCGCCTCTCACCCAGTATCATTGTTGTCGCATCATGCTCACTCAATGATAACATTCTCCCAAGCGTGAAGGAAATATAAAGTACAAACGAGAAGGGCTCACACCAGTCTGTCATTAGGACAATAAATATGATTTGATTGACAAGAGTTTGTCAAAGAAATCTTATTCAAGTGCCGCTTGCATAAGACACTTAATAAAGCGGCCACACCCTCTATAAGGACATGATAATGGTTCAGTTGTAAAGCCTTAAAACCACACACGGTAAGAACGGGAAATAAGTCTTGAGAAACTTTACAAGTTGAGAAGTCACAGAGAGAAAGAGAGAGAGAGAGAGAGAGACAGAGAGAGCGAGAGCGAGAGAGAGAGAGACAGAGAGAGAGAGAGAGAGAGAGAGGAGAGAGAGAGAGAGAGAGAGAGAGAGAGAGAGAGAGAGAGAGAGAGAGAGAGAGAGAGAGAGAGAGAGAGAGAGAGAGAGAAAGAGACAGAGAGCGAGAGCGAGAGAGAGAGAGACAGAGAGAGAGACAGAGAAAGAGAGAGACAGAGAGAGAGAGAGAGAGAGAGAGAGAGAGAGAGAGAGAGAGAGAGAGAGAGAGAGAGAGAGAGAGAGAGAGAGAGAGAGAGAGAGAGAGAGAGAGACAGAGAGAGAGAGACAGAGAGAGAGAGACAGAGACAGAGAGGCTGAGACAGACAGAGACAGAGACATAGAGAGAGTCGGATTGGCAACATCTCCTCTGAATGAGAGGACACTTTTGACAATGTCAGTGACACGAGACTTGCTCAAGCAAAAGATACAGGCCGGTATATATATGGAAGATTGCCAGGTTAGAACAGGGAGTACCTCTCAGGTAGGAGGCAGAGCCACTGATTGGTTCATGAAGATTAAGCTAGCCGAGAGGTGGCACGGGCATGAGTACTGAGGCAGGGAGTGGCACGGGCATGAGTACAGAGGCAGGGAGTGGCACGGGGCATG